TATCATTGTTTGATGAATTCACCCAGGCCATTTATTTGATGCACGATGGTGCTGTGATTCAAATTACTTCTATTTGATTTTAAAATCAGTGCCCTGAACAAGTGTCTCATGGAACTTCCTACAGTATTATGAGGCTGAAAAGTAAGATCAGTTCTGATGGGTTACTGTGATTTAAAAGGCCAGCACAAAATGCTTTCACACATTAAGTCTTTGGATATTCAATGGTGAACATATGATTTAAAGGCAACCAAGGAAGGAAGATTCAACTTAGACATAAACGAATTTCTGGTACCACTGTGTAATTAGCAACAGAAGTTAAGACATACACTTGGCTTTTTCAGGACAATCTCAATAAAGTTATGTCTTAAGAGAGTTCAGAAGAATAGATTAATCTTCAATATCATAACTAAACTTATGAATCTAACAAAGTTTTAGAAGTAAAGTTCTGGTCCAGTAACAGTAGAGAATGACTCTTGTTTTCACTTTCTTGTTTTTGTTTCAAGTTTAGTTCCCCCATTCTGGTATATCTGTAACAGATACAAAAGTTCCTATCTGAAGAATCAATTTCTGACTCCATCTTGAGGAAGGAAGAGGAGGAGAAAATCAATCTCTCTCTCTCTCTCTCTCTCTCTCTCTCTCTCTCTCTCTCTCTCTCTCTCTTTCTTTCTCCTAAGGTAACCAGCAATTATAAAACTTAAGAAAGACAAATTTTCAAGTAAAAAAGAATAGCATGTCAATAACAGGAAAAAGTCTACTTAACAAGTATTATTCTGGATGGTAAGATAAGGAAATGATATGCTTTTGGACATCTGGATACACACACACACACACACACACACACACATGTGGTCTGATGCCAAAGAAAGATGACCAGGGAGCTTGTAGCTGAGGGTGGGGGGAAAAAGCAAAAATATTTGTTTGTATACATAAAATACTTAAGAATTTTCTCCTCTATCTACCAAGAGTACCTTGTTAGGAAATTTTTCCCCCCAGCCCTGGGGATTGTACCAGGGACCAGTGCACGTTTGACAAGTGTCTTTGGTTGAGTTGCATCCCTAGCCCCCTGGCCAGGGATTTCTGAAGGCTCTGGGAAAGATGATCCTTTATGTTATTTATATTTGGACACATGCAAATGTCATTTCTCTCTGATATCCAAAGCCTCCTTACCTGTTCAGCTTCAGTCACCCAGGGCTTGACTTGAATAGCACTGGGCCACACATTGAATCCCTTCCCTGTGTTCCTGAAATAACACCACTTCAAATTCAATGTGCATTTACCTGTTTGAAGCAGCCTGTTAATGGCTCTAAATTCAAGGTCAGAAACATTTTTTAATAGAAATTCTCTGGTCTTGTGTGTCATTTGTGCTTCTATGAAATATTGTGGCCACTAAATCCAGTGATAATGAAAGCATAATTTCCTGTCAACCACAATAATCTTCTGGATTGAATCCCAAAGTACCTTTAAGAGCCTCTTTTTATTTTAAAGTTCACTCGTCAGTGTGTAACTTATCATTTGGAACTTCAATCCATGTTGTTTACAGAATTCATGGTGTAATATGCCTTTACATAATTATTTAACATATCTGAGAATTGACTAAGTTTACCTTAAAAAAGGGTTGGGGTTAACAGAGTGACAACCAGGCTGTAATTAGAACTATATCTAACATATGAATATGAATGAAAAATCAGGTTACAAGTATTTTATCCAAGGGATTCGATCTTTTTTTGGAGGAATTCTAAAAACTCTTTTACGTGTAAGAATTCCAAAGGGTATAAAAATCTCCTCGCATCACTATGTGGGTGTAAATCAATGCTTTAGCATTATAATAAAGTGGGTTGCTTGGCCAGACATAGATATTGTGGTTGGAAAATGTAAAAATAAATTGATTTTTTTTTAAATCAGGCTTTACAACCTTCCTTAATTTCTTCTTCCTTGCAGAGAGTTAAGCAGTTGGTATATGCAGCTACTATTCGCAGTGGTTATTAATTCTGATAACAGTGACATAATGTTTGGTTGCATCTCCAGAATTCCTATAGAGCTATTCTCTGATCTTCTAAAAGGACAATATTAATTCTGCTGGTGACAGAAGTTCAAGCATATAAATAGTATGGCTCTTGGTGTGACAGTAGAATCCTGCTTCTCTCCAAGTGGAAGATCCTTTGAAAGCTGAATCTCACCGCTTCATGATTGCATGCATGTGCATGAGGACATACCAGTTAGCTGGGTCGGTTGGTTTCCCAGTGTCACACTTAAAATAAAAGGAGAGGGAATGGATAAAGCATCATACTACCATACAAAATTCTATTCAACCAATTCCAGACTGGGAAGGTCAGGGGTGTGTGTTTAGTCCTGCATGCACAAGGATGGTTAAGTAGTGCCCAAGTGGCATTAAATGACACTGAAGGGGAAGTGGTTATCTTTTTACTCCATTGAATATTTCAGATAATATCAAGGAAGTGTGAGCTGGAAGATGGTCTTCTTTCAAATTCTTTGCTTCTCAAAGGGTGGTCCTCAAATCAGTACTGCAGGAGGGATTATTAGAAATACAATCCAGATGTGGCCTGAGATAGACTGGATCAGAATCTGTTTTTTACCATGGAATCCATGTGATTTGTGTGCATAGTAATATTTGAGATGGCCCTTCTAGGGGTGTGCTAGAATTACTTCTTTACTGGGTTTTTCAGAGTTGAAGGTCAAATTTTCATTAACAGCCAAAACAGGTTAGTGGTCATATTGGAAGTTTGAAATCAGCCTGAGTAGAAATCAGAAAACACTCCAAATCAGGGATTTGGGTTTTTTTTTTCTTTTAGATAGTCCCTTGTTAAATGTTTACTAGTTTGCTCTAACTATTGCTGATCTTTTTAACAAATAGAGAGATGACCTCAGGCTTTGATGGTACCCACATTAGTCAAAGTAAAACCTTATATAAAATGTGATCCCTCTTTTCTTCTGCTTGCTTATCTTCACAATGAGAATAACTAATAATAATACATATGTCAGGATTATTTTGAAGATTAGATGCTTGTGTGTATGTGTTCCTTCTTCATGATTTAATATTGTCAAGGCTCTTTCTAAATGTTCACTATTAATCTTATAATTTTACAGTTACATTCTATTATGACAAGTTACATTGACTTTCCAGTTTAAAATGAATATTTCAAAAACTAAGCCTGTTTCAATAAAGGGTAATATAAAAATACAGGTAGGTAATTTAAGAATTTGGCAACATTTAATGAGGCAGCATATGAGTGTTTCAGTGCTTAGAAACTATACATAGGGATGAGTTTTTTAAAAATGACTGATGTGGATGAAAAAGAACTTCCATTGAAGGGAGAAAATTTTTCTCCAGATTTCTGTCAGTTGACTGCAGGGCATTGGCAAAGTGACACCCACCATTCCTCTGAAAAAATGGAAAGTCGCACACCTTCTCTGTGGGTTGACATATACTTTTATTCCCCAAACACTTGGAGAAGTCAGACACGTCCTTTTCACAAAGAATTGTCAAAGAAGAGTGTGCCTCTTTTTGGCATGGACTCTTGGTGGGTTAGGGGAAAAATAGGAGTGTGTGATCTCTGGGTGAACTTGCAAGTAATGATTTAAAAACTGCCTCAGATACTTAGCCATTCAGAGATCCTGGATTGGTTTTGATGGACCTGTTCCTGTCTGTGGGTTGACTGAAATGTTCTTTCACATTGAGCCCCCCCTCAGTTGGCTAATTCCTTCTCAACATTGAAGAGACACCTCCTCCTAGAAGCCTTCTTTTCTACTACCAAGATGAGTGGCATACAGCACTCTGTATTCCTCTATCCCTCCCAAGGACACTTTTTTTATTAATATGGCAATTATATGTCTTTTTTATCTTTCCCAATTACATTGTTTGCTTCTTGAGTATAAGAGCTCTGACCTGTTTGCTTTTCTATCCCCAGTGACTGACACATAATAAAATATGCATCATTAATTAAAATAATAAAAGAATGGGTTGTGTTAAGAGAGCATTTTGAAGTGACTTTATCTGGGTTCAAATAATGGTTCTGTCCTTATGGAGATGTTCCTTTAATGAATTCTCTGCCTTGGTTTTGAACACAACAACTCAAGGCATTGAAAGCTTTATTTAACTGTAAGAAATGTTGGCAATGGATGATTTTTGTAGCTACACACGTATCCCGTTAGTCATATATTCATTCTAGCTTGTGAATCTCTGTCATCATATAAAATTGTTCCCAGATTTATAATGACTTTTGCCTGATTCTGTCGAGTTTAGATAGGCCCTCTATCATTTATGTCACCTTCTACCTGAATCTCACTTGGTGGTTTCCATAATGGAAGTATCTATTATGATTTGGTGTTGGCATTAAGCTTTATCATAGCAGAATTATTAACAACAAGGTTCCCAAAGGTATTTGGCACAATTCAAAGGGTATATTCCTGCCAATGTATCCTAACTGTTTTATCATGATTACCTCCTTTGGTTCTCAAAATAAACTGTTAGGTCCATATCATCAACAATGTTGTCATTCAGGCAGTTGTCATTAATTAAGCCCTGGCTGTACCCAGGTAAAGCATAAGGACTAGAATATAAACCCCAAACAGGCCTGTACTAGAGGTCACTTGTAGGGACCCTCTGCTGCATCTATATAACTTGGGTCACTGGAGAACAACACAGGTGGCTTTTGAGCCCTGAAGTAGGTCTGCCACAGAAAGGGTATATTGGAAAAGAGAATAAGTCTCTTCCCTGGGAACCAGAGAGGCAGAAACATGGACCAGAATACATCTAACCATCTGCATAAAACGGTCGAGCACTTCCCTTTCCTACGTTCTCCTGGCACTTTGGGGAAGATTTTTGTTTAACTTTTTGCTACTCCTGAGCCTTACTTACTTTTATTGTATAAGTCAC